TTAGTCTCAAACTAATCATTCTGACATTCACTGAGTTGGAAAAAAGTGGAGAAGAAATTGTCGGGCAGTTTTTCAAAAAGGTTGGACAAATATGTGGGTGGAATTGTGTGGTTATGACAAGGTCTTGCCTTGTATGGGCCAGTAGGCCTTCTGCAGTGTTCATTCTTTATGTACCCAAGGATGCCACCTACGACACTCCACTAATACACAGGTACCTATTTACTGCTAGGTGAACAGGGGCAGTAGGTGTGAGGGTTACCACCCATGGATCCATTTATTGCCACGCGATCTGAGGTACCAGGTGAAGGTACCAGATGAAAGTGCCAGGTGAAGGTACCAGATGAAGGTGCTAGGTGAAGGTGCCAGGTGAAGGTACCAGGTGAAGGTACCAGGTGGAAGTACCAGGTGAAGGTACCAGATGAAGGTGCCAGAAGGTACCAGATTAAGGTGCCAGGTGAAGGTACCAGGTGAAGATACCAGGTGAAGGTGCCAGATGAAGGTACCAGGTGAGGGTACCAGATGAAGGTACAAGGTGAGGGTACCAGATGAAGGTGCCTGGTGATGGTACCAGGTGAAGGTGCCTGGTGAGGGTACCAGGTGAAGGTGCCAGGTGAAGGTATCAGGTCAAGGCGCCAGGTGAAGGTACCAGGTGAAGGCGCCGGCTCACTCATTATTCTTCTGCGCAAGACTAATCATAGCATTGTTCCAGTCACAGTATTGTTCCAGTCATGGCATTTTTCCAGTCACGGTATTTTTCCAGTCATGGCATTGTTACATAGTATTGTTCCAGTCATGGCATTGTTCCAGTCACGGTATTTTTCCAGCCATGGCATTGTTCCAGTCATGGCATTGTTCCAGTCACGGGATTTTTCCAGCCATGGCATTGTTCCAGTCACGGCATTGCTCTAGTCACGGTATTCTTCCTTTGTCATCTACAATGATTCAGAGGTCTGGGGGATGGGGCAGAGGTGCAGGTTGAGGTGGTTCAGACATAGAAGGTGAAGAATATGCTCAGGGGTTAACCCCTGGAGAGCCAGCCACGCTGTATAACCCAAGAAAGTCAGTCATTGAGGACTGTCTTATTTCCTCAATCTTGTCCCCCAGGATGCCACCCACACCAGTTGACTAACACCCAGGTATCTACGTGTTAGGTGAACAGGACAACAGCTGTAACGAAATGCGTCGAATGCTTTCACCCCTGCCGGGAATCGAACCCGAGCCCTCAGCGTGTGAAGCGAGGCTTTTTCCACCCAGGCCACGGGGTCCCTAGAAGCGTGTATAAATCTAGGATGGAGGGAAGGAGGGGTAGGGGACGTCCTGAGATAGCTTAGAGAAAGATGGAGGGTTTGAGTGCTGTGGGATTGGACATCCACAGGGCTTGTGTAACCACGTTAGAAAGTAGTGGAGGCGAGTGACTTATGACCTGATAGTTGGAGTGTGCGCTAGGTTATATTCATGAATGGAATCAGGAAAACCGGTTAGCCGGACTTGAGTCTTGGAGGTGGGAAGTGCAGTGCCTGCACACTGAAGGTGTGGGGATATTTGCTGCTTGGAGAGTCATCTGAAGTGTGATGGTAACATACATCTGGCAAAGATAGTAATTAACTGAGCGATGGTGAAAGGTGTGTCACCTCGGGTCACCTTACCTCGGTGGGAGACGACCGGTATCTTAGACATTACAGTGGAACTTCGGTTTCTGAACTTAAACGGTTCCCAGGTGGTGTTTGAACTGCGAAAAGTTCAATGACCGAAACAGTATTTACCAGGCTTGACCATCCTCACACACTGGTGGATGTTGAACTGACTTACAAAAGTCTCTGAAAGTCAGGTTAATGTCAGAGGTCACCTCAAAACAATTCTGAAACACGACTTTCCTCTAAAGTTCTTTATAACGAGTTCAGACTCCAGAGAAACGTTCAAAGACCAGGTCAATTTTCCTCTGAACAAGACCGTTCACACTCCGGTTCGTTCGAACACCGAGGTTCCACTGTATAACTCACGAAATCGTAATGACACGATTGCAAACAAACCATAACCCCGGCCGGGATTGAACCCGCGGTCAGAGAGTCTCAAAACTCCAGCCCGTCGCGTTAGCCACTGGACCAGCTAGCCACAATAAGATTCATCCAACTAGGTATATTTCTACACCATAGGAAGGTTAGCACAGGCACCTCTGTGACCACAAATGCAAGTTTTTACAGACGAATCTCCAGCTAGCGTGGCCGTGACGAACTCTAGTGGCTAACGCGACGGTCTGGAGTTTTGAGACTCTCTGACCGCGGGTTCAATCCCGGCCAGGGTATGGTTTGGTTCCACTGTATCACTCATACCCAGTTTAACTTCATTTTTCGGGACACAACTTCAAAACTCTCTGGTCATTGTATAATAATGATAAAACATACTTGTAAATGATTTCCTGTACAGTGAATATATCACTTAACCTTCACCATTGTTTGTGGTGAGTCACCATAAGTCCAGCATCTCACAATAATAATAATAATAATAATGATAATAAAAATACAATATTAATAATGATAATAACATAATAATGCAAGACAATAATAACAATAGTATAAACCTTGGTAATAAATACGGACAAGTTGCTTTAGAAAAACCAACTTGTCCGTATTAGAATATATTTGAACATGTTTCGGTCCTGGGACCGAAACATCTTTAATATGTCCTAGTGTTTGCTTGTGTGTTTTTCTAGACCAATAATAATAATAATAATAATAATAATAATAATAATTATAAGACAGGTAGAGCCTCACTGACCGGGTAGAGCAGTTTATGTTTGGGTTGAGAGACGAGAGCTGTAGCCCAACTGATGGAAGGTGTGAGAGTGTGTGAGGTCACAGCCTCTACCTCACACGCCAGCAAGTTACCTGTAAGCAGGAATATACTAGTAGGCCTAGTGGCTAACGAAAAGCACAGCCTCCATATGAAGGCCAACATATGTAGGCCTACAGGCCAATGCTAAGTTGGTCCTACTCACACATAGGCCTTCTATTGTCGTAGGCTTATTGACCAGTATTAGGCACCCAAACTCCTCCCACTGGTGCAGGACTACTAGCAAGTGTTGTAGGTCAAGACGAGTTGATGAACAATCCACTTGAGATATTTGTTTATGATGAGACACTGTTGATGAGACAAGTAGTGTTGAGGTGATCAGTCCCTCAGGCTGAGGGACTGATCACCTCAACACTACGTCTTCAAGGCTGATAGACTGATTACATCATCTTCATTTATAATATCTATTTTCTACCAATACATGTACAAGGTATACAGACCATAGCTGACATCAGTGACATACTACTATATAGAAAGTCCCTTGTTATGCTGAACATTTCCCGCAAATTAGGTCAGTTTTGTCCCAGGATGCGACCCACACCAGTCCACTAACACACAGGTACCCATTTTACTGATGGGTGAATATAGATAACCGGTGTAAGGAAACACGCCCAATGTTTCTACCCTTCCAGGGAATCGAACCCGGACACTCACTGTGTAAAGCGAGAGCTTTAGTCACAAGGCCTTCTTCAGTCCTAAGATACATCAGTTACCAAATATTGGAGGAGTCCAGAAGTAAACTGGTATTTATTTAACGCGATTTAACAGCAATTTAACACAATTTTAGGCATAAAATGGTCACATCTGCTCCTACACGAGTCAAATAACTTTGCTCACAGGAGTCCTCTACAGGCAAATTGTTCCAAGAATCTAGTCTTCGGTATCCTACACAACCACTGAAAATCTGAAACCGATCGGATGAGCTGTTCTCAAGCTACAAGCGATAGAATAACAAAAAATTCTAAGACAAAATAAATTCAATTCAATTCAGGTTTATTCTCTATAAGTGTTACAATGTGGGGTTTACAGGTTTTGGGTATTGTGTGGTTTACATGTTATAAAATACTAATTACAGAGGGGGCCACTAGGACACCTAGCATGGCTAGGCATTTCCAGCAGACTTAGATTAATTCTTAACATTAAATCCTTACAGATTATGGTATTAAGGCTAAGTGACTACATCATAATTTGTGAGTTTAGCAATGTGAATGTTTTTGTTTTGGCACAATACATAGTGTCTATATTGGAGTATCATAGGCAAACTTATGACTAGTTAGGATTTATTATTTTAAGATTAAGATTAGTATTTCTGTGTTTATAGTCAGTGGGTGAGTGAGTGTAAGTGTGAACCACCAGGTGGTTATCATGTAGTTAGTTGTCGGGGTGTATCAGGGAGATAAGATGTTTTCTAACTGTAGTTTTGAAAGTGATGAATGTGTCTGCAGTTCTAGAGTTCTCAGGTAGGGTGTTCCAGATTTTAGGTCCTTTTGAAATACATTGAATTTTTGTAAAGGTTTAGTCGAACACGGGGAATGTCATAGAGATGTTTGTGTCTGGTGTTATGCCTGTGGGTTCTGTCACAACTATCAAGAAAGCATTTTAGGTCAAGGTTAATATTGGAGTTTAAGGTCCTGTAGATGTAGACTGCATAGTAGTAAGTGTGGATGTACTGAACAGGGAGTAAGTTTAGGTCTATGAAGAGTGGGGGGGTGTGTTGCCAGGGATGGGATTTAGCGATTATTCTTACTGCGGCTTTTTGTTGGGTTATTATTGGCTTTAGGTGTGTTGCTGCAGTTGATCCCCAAGCCCAAATAGCATAGGTGAGGTATGGATATATAAGTGAATGGTATAGTGTGAGAAGGGCAGTTTGCGGCACGTAGTATCGTATCTTGGAGAGGATCCCAACCGCTTTGGATACTTTTTTTATGTGTTGGATATGGGTGCTGAAATTTAGGTTGTCCTGCGATACCTGATAAAAATATAAATATGAATAATGTTTGTAAAGGATGAGTACTGACCCAGGAAAGTGTTTCCTGAGGTAGACTCCCTCAGCCACGGTGACTACAGCTAGCTCCTGAGTACTGACCCAGGAAAGTGTTTCCTGAGGTAGACTCCCTCAGCCACGGTGACTACAGCTAGCTCCTGAGTACTGACCCAGGACAGTGTTTCCTGAGGTAGACTCCCTCAGCCACGGTGACTACAGCTAGCTCCTGAGTACTGACCCAGGACAGTGTTTCCTGAGGTAGACTCCCTCAGCCACGGTGACTACAGCAAGCTCCTGAGTACTGACCCAGGAAAGTGTTTCCTGAGGTAGACTCCCTCAGCCACGGTGACTACAGCTAGCTCCTGAGTACTGACCCAGGAAAGTGTTTCCTGAGGTAGACTCCCTCAGCCACGGTGACTACAGCTAGCTCCTGAGTACTGACCCAGGACAGTGTTTCCTGAGGTAGACTCCCTCAGCCACGGTGACTACAGCAAGCTCCTGAGTACTGACCCAGGAAAGTGTTTCCTGAGGTAGACTCCCTCAGCCACGGTGACTACAGCTAGCTCCTGAGTACTGACCCAGGAAAGTGTTTCCTGAGGTAGACTCCCTCAGCCACGGTGACTACAGCTAGCTCCTGAGTACTGACCCAGGACAGTGTTTCCTGAGGTAGACTCCCTCAGCCACGGTGACTACAGCTAGCTCCTGAGTACTGACCCAGGACAGTGTTTCCTGAGGTAGACTCCCTCAGCCACGGTGACTACAGCTAGCTCCTGAGTACTGACCCAGGACAGTGTTTCCTGAGGTAGACTCCCTCAGCCACGGTGGCTACAGCTAGCTCCTGAGTACTGACCCAGGACAGTGTTTCCTGAGGTAGACTCCCTCAGCCCACGGTGACTACAGCAAGCTCCTGAGTACTGACCCAGGAAAGTGTTTCCTGAGGTAGACTCCCTCAGCCACGGTGACTACAGCTAGCTCCTGAGTACTGACCCAGGACAGTGTTTCCTGAGGTAGACTCCCTCAGCCACGGTGACTACAGCTAGCTCCTGAGTACTGACCCAGGACAGTGTTTCCTGAGGTAGACTCCCTCAGCCACGGTGACTACAGCTAGCTCCTGAGTACTGACCCAGGAAAGTGTTTCCTGAGGTAGACTCCCTCAGCCACGGTGACTACAGCTAGCTCCTGAGTACTGACCCAGGACATGTGTTTCCTGAGGTAGACTCCCTCAGCCACGGTGACTACAGCAAGCTCCTGAGTACTGACCCAGGAAAGTGTTTCCTGAGGTAGACTCCCTCAGCCACGGTGACTACAGCTAGCTCCTGAGTACTGACCCAGGACAGTGTTTCCTGAGGTAGACTCCCTCAGCCACGGTGGCTACAGCTAGCTCCTGAGTACTGACCCAGGACAGTGTTTCCTGAGGTAGACTCCCTCAGCCACGGTGACTACAGCAAGCTCCTGAGTACTGACCCAGGACAGTGTTTCCTGAGGTAGACTCCCTCAGCCACGGTGACTACTCCTAGCTCCTGAGTACTCACCCAGGATAGTGATGGGAACGTTAACACCGTGTTTCCTGAGGTAGACTCCCTCAGCCACGGTGGCTACAGCTAGCTCCTGGACACCCTCCTGAAGAAGAACATCGACCACCTTCATCAGACCGGAACCGTATGCTCCTCCCTTCACCACGCCCATAATACCTGATGGAGAAACCTGCCTTCGTACACATCTGCCACGTAATATCTGAAAAGCATATATGTATTTCTGTACAATATATCAGGTGGAAATGGAATATGAATTTGAAAGATATCCCGTATTAACTGGTGGACCGGGTGGGGTTTCAACCCATATCAAGTGAGAGCTAAAACTCAGAGGCCAGTGCGTTAACCACTTGACCAGCTTGTTCTAATAAGGTTCACTCAACTAGGTATATTTTTATACACTAGAGTGTGGTATGGCATAACCCCAGTGTTCCTTGTACCTCCCTGAACGTGACACTGTTGTAATAATAATAATAATATTATTTCTGCAAGTACAAGGTATACACACCATAGCTGAGAGTATAACACTCACCAGTGTTGTTACTGAGTGTATAACACCAGTGTTGGTATTGACAGTAACACTCACCAGTATTGGGTCCTGAGAGGGACTTTAGGACGTTTATGTTGTTGACGACAGCGTCCAGGTTGACGTGGATGAAAGAGGGTGCTCCTAACTCGAGGAATGCCTGAGTGGCCAGTGCCACCAGTGAGCTGGATGTGGGTGATCCACTAGCACTACCACTGGCACTCTCTGCTCCTGGCTCATCCTCAGTCATACTGTTCCTGTTGAGGCACCTTGGAGTTAATTATTATTATGATCATTATTATAAAAGTCAGAGGGAAACACTGAACCCGTTGGGATAAATTTGTTAAAGAACAAAAGACACAACACAGTGACTGGAACAATGTACAGATACCCAGCACATAGCAGAGCTGCTGGCGACGTTACGGTCAGACTTACACCGAATCACAGACGAAGGTGAGAGAGCCAGTATATATACCAGAGGAGGACAGAGCACAAAGAAATTAGTGGAGAAGTTTTGATAGAGGTAATGCTGGTAGCAGTAGTGGTGGTAATTGGTAGGAGGAAGCACTACAGGAGAACTCAGGACCCACAAGGGTGGAACCAAAAGCAGGGGGTAACTGGAAGACACGAAACGCCTAGGCAGAAGAAAGGAAGACAAAATAAAATGCAGGAAAAGAGAAGAGGAGAAGAAAAGATCAGGTTAAGTCACGAGTGTTCTGAAGTCTGGAACATTTAACTATGTAATGAGACAAGAAGGCATCTAGAGAGACAAAGTTTTAGTTTAATATGTTTATTATGCACCCCATACCCATCCTGTGGGCGGTAGTCAAAAGATTACAGAGGTACATAATTGGTCCAGGGACTGGACTCCAAAGTTTTGATAGCTGAGCAAGTTACAGAGGTAATGAACTCACAATTTACAAAGGTAATGAACTCACAATTTACAAAGGTAATGAACTCACAATTTACAAAGGTAATGAACTCCAGGTAAGTCTGGTCACAATCATGACAAGTTACAAAGGTATTTACAGATTACAGAGGTACGTAATGGGTCCAGGGACTGGGCCCCCAAAGTTTTGATAGCTGAACTAGGTACAAAGGTAATGAGCTCACAAGTTACAAAGGTAATGAATTCTGTAGAATGGTTACTTACGTTTATACTTTGGCTACAATCATGAACAAATTATAGAGTAATGAGCAATTCACACTTCCACACCCGGTCACAACTGTAATGAGTTATTGGTGCAAATATTGATTGTTGAGTCACACACACCACACAAAAGCCAAGCCTAACATTCATATTAGGAAAGTTGTGTATAAGGGCGGATGCAACAAGACTGACCGTGTCTGTGAAGGCTAGAAGGTTAGACAGTTCTGACAGAGGACCAGTTAATACTATGACTGTGATAAGGTTAGGTTATGTAAGGTTTGCCAGGACACAGGACAAGTGCTTCCTGACGCGGGGTCTGAGTCATATGATGACCTACAGCTGGAACTTTTGGTTATCTGACCGAGGCCTTCCACTGGCTTACCCCTCCACCACTTTAAAAATTATAGTTATGATTATAACCATTTTAGGATGATTGTGATCTCTAATATGAGAGAAAAGAACATTATTGGTGTCGGCAAGTTTAACACTACTTGTATACTCCTTAAGTCTGTCAGAAAGATAGCGGCCAGTGTCTCCAGAGTGCTGGAGAGGACACAGCACTGGAGAGGACACAGCACTGGAGAGGACGCAGCACTGGAGAGGACGCAGCACTGGAGAGGACACAGCACTGGAGAGGACACAGCACTGGAGAGGACGCAGCACTGGAGAGGACGCAGCACTGGAGAGGACACAGCACTGGAGAGGACACAGCACTGGAGAGGACACAGCACTGGAGAGGACACAGCACTGGAGAGGACACAGCACTGGAGAGGACACAGTACTGGAGAGGACACAGTACTGGAGAGGACACAGCACTGGAGAGGACACAGCACTGGAGAGGACACAGCACTGGAGAGGACACAGTACTGGAGAGGACACAGTACTGGAGAGGACACAGTACTGGAGAGGACGCAGTACTGGAGAGGACGCAGCACTGGAGAGGACGCGGCACTGGAGAGGACACAGCACTGGAGAGGACGCAGCACTGGAGAGGACACAGTACTGGAGAGGACACAGCACTGGAGAGGACGCAGCACTGGAGAGGACGCAGCACTGGAGAGGACACAGCACTGGAGAGGACACAGCACTGGAGAGGACACAGCACTGGAGAGGACACAGCACTGGAGAGGACACAGCACTGGAGAGGACACACACTGGAGAGGACACAGCACTGGAGAGGACACAGCACTGGAGAGGACACAGTACTGAGAGAGGACACAGTACTGGGAGGACACAGTACTGGAGAGGACACAGCACTGGAGAGGACACAGTACTGGAGAGGACACAGTACTGGAGAGGACACAGTACTGGAGAGGACACAGTACTGGAGAGGACACAGTACTGGAGAGGACGCAGTACTGGAGAGGACGCAGTACTGGAGAGGACGCAGCACTGGAGAGGACGCAGCACTGGAGAGGACGCAGCACTGGAGAGGACACAGCACTGGAGAGGACACAGCACTGGAGAGGACGCAGCACTGGAGAGGACGCAGCACTGGAGAGGACGCAACACTGGAGAGGACACAGTACTGGAGAGGACACAACACTGGAGAGGACACAGCACTGGAGAGGACGCAGCACTGGAGAGGACGCAGCACTGGAGAGGACGCAACACTGGAGAGGACACAGTACTGGAGAGGACACAGCACTGGAGAGGACACAGTACTGGAGAGGACACAGCACTGGAGAGGACACAGTACTGGAGAGGACACAGCACTGGAGAGGACGCAGCACTGGAGAGGACGCAACACTGGAGAGGACACAGTACTGGAGAGGACACAGCACTGGAGAGGACACAGCACTGGAGAGGACACAGTACTGGAGAGGACACAGTACTGGAGAGGACACAGCACTGGAGAGGACACAGCACTGGAGAGGACACAGCACTGGAGAGGACACAGTACTGGAGAGGACACAGTACTGGAGAGCACACAGTACTGGAGAGGACACAGTACTGGAGAGGACGCAGCACTGGAGAGGACGCAGCACTGGAGAGGACGCAGCACTGGAGAGGACACAGCACTGGAGAGGACACAGTACTGGAGAGGACACAGTACTGGAGAGGACACAGTACTGGAGAGGACACAGTACTGGAGAGGACGCAGCACTGGAGAGGACGCAGCACTGGAGAGGACGCAGCACTGGAGAGGACGCAGCACTGGAGAGGACGCAGCACTGGAGAGGACACAGCACTGGAATGGACACAGCACTGGAGAGGACACAGCACTGGAGAGGACACAGCACTGGAGAGGACACAGCACTGGAGAGGACACAGCACTGGAGAGGACACAACACTGGAGAGGGACACAACACTGGAGAGGACACAACACTGGAGAGGACACAACACTGGAGAGGACACAGTACTGGAGAGGACACAACACTGGAGAGGACACAGTACTGGAGAGGACACAGTACTGGAGAGGACACAGTACTGGAGAGGACACAGCACTGGAGAGGACACTGCACTGGAGAGGACACAGTACTGGAGAGGACACAACACTGGAGAGGACACAACACTGGAGAGGACACAACACTGGAGAGGACACAACACTGGAGAGGACACAACACTGGAGAGGACACAGTACTGGAGAGGACACAGTACTGGAGAGGACACAGTACTGGAGAGGACACAGCACTGGAGAGGACACAACACTGGAGAGGACACAGCACTGGAGAGGACACAGTACTGGAGAGGACACAGTACTGGAGAGGACACAGCACTGGAGAGGACACAGCACTGGAGAGGACACAGCACTGGAGAGGACACAGCACTGGAGAGGACACAGTACTGGAGAGGACACAGTACTGGAGAGCACACAACACTGGAGAGGACACAGCACTGGAGAGGACACAGTACTGGAGAGGACACAGTACTGGAGAGGACACAGTACTGGAGAGGACACCGCACTGGAGAGGACACAGCACTGGAGAGGACACAGTACTGGAGAGGACACAGTACTGGAGAGGACACAACACTGGAGAGGACACAGCACTGGAGAGGACACAACACTGGAGAGGACACAGCACTGGAGAGGACACAGTACTGGAGAGGACACAGTACTGGAGAGGACACAGCACTGGAGAGGACACAGTACTGGAGAGGACACAACACTGGAGAGGACACAACACTGGAGAGGACACAACACTGGAGAGGACACAACACTGGAGAGGACACAGTACTGGAGAGGACACAACACAGGAGAGGACACAGTACTGGAGAGGACACAACACTGGAGAGGACACAGCACTGGAGAGGAACAAACACTGGAGAGGACACAGTACTGGAGAGGACACAGTACTGGAGAGGACACAACACTGGAGAGGACACAGTACTGGAGAGGACACAACACTGGAGAGGACACAGTACTGGAGAGGACACAACACTGGAGAGGACACAGTACTGGAGAGGACACAACACTGGAGAGGACACAGTACTGGAGAGGACACAGTACTGGAGAGGACACAACACTGGAGAGGACACAACACTGGAGAGGACACAACACTGGAGAGGACACAGTACTGGAGAGGACACAGTACTGGAGAGGACACAACACTGGAGAGGACACAGCACTGGAGAGGACACAACACTGGAGAGGACACAGTACTGGAGAGGACACAGTACTGGAGAGGACACAACACTGGAGAGGACACAGTACTGGAGAGGACACAACACTGGAGAGGACACAGTACTGGAGAGGACACAACACTGGAGAGGACACAGTACTGGAGAGGACACAGTACTGGAGAGGACACAACACTGGAGAGGACACAACACTGGAGAGGACACAGTACTGGAGAGGACACAGTACTGGAGAGGACACAGCACTGGAGAGGACACAACACTGGAGAGGACACAACACTGGAGAGGACACACTACTGGAGAGGACACAACACTGGAGAGGACACAACACTGGAGAGGACACAGTACTGGAGAGGACACAACACTGGAGAGGACACAGTACTGGAGAGGACACAACACTGGAGAGGACACAGTACTGGAGAGGACACAACACTGGAGAGGACACAACACTGGAGAGGACACAGTACTGGAGAGGACACAGCACTGGAGAGGACACAACACTGGAGAGGACACAGTACTGGAGAGGAC